AGTCACTTGGCCAGTTCTAACAAATAATAAAGTTGAAAGCTGCAAAGAAAGGAGAGTTCGGAAAGGATATTTCTAGCTTATTAAGCGTCATCAGCCAGTAATATCCAATATGAGGTGTGAATGACCACGGATTCGGACCAGAAACCTTTGTTTAGGGAACATACTTGGCCCGCTCTGGATTATTAGCCATCATCAGGCAGTCAAAGTCAGTCTCATTTGTTTGAGCTGACCCAACTGTGAAAAACCTTCAGGCGTTTGGCGGGATTTAAACCCACGCATCAGAGAAGGCCTTGGCCGGAAGCCAATGCTCTAACCGCTAAGCTACAAACGCCCCGCCTCGCGCCATGAATTTGATCACAATTGAGTCGATATTACCCGCTCAACTCTACCGCGCGCCCAGTTGTGTACCAAACTGGACCCGGACACGGGACATTTTCGGAATGATTGTAACACCTTTCGATGGATCCGAGCGCCCGCTGATTTGTTAGGCGCGATTGGGATAATGATAAAAATATGTTGCCCACCGGCGTGTCTGTTTTGTTAACAAGCTTGTTCTGTTTTGCCCAAACGGTCCTACTAAAGCAATCACAGGCCTTCGCTTGGAGAATTCGGATATATAGTGTAGTTGAAACCGACAATGACGGAGCAGACTGGTATGGACATTTCTGGTTTATTAGCCATCGTCAGTCAGTCAGATCCTATCTCGAGTGTAGATCACAAAGGAGACGAACTCCAGACCTTTGTCTAGGGAACTACTTGGCCCGTTCTGAATTATTATCCAGCATCAGTCTGTCATACCCAATTCCAAGTGTGTATCACACTGGATTCGAACGAGGTTCATTTGCGGGGTGCGTGTGAGCCTTTATCACGGAACCATGTGCTCGTTGATTTGTTGGGCGTGATCAGGATTGGGATAGAAGTATAGTGCTCACCGGTATATTTGTCTTTAGAACATGCTTGTATCGTTGTTCAGTCGCTTGGGGACCTCGGACTTACTACGTATTTGAAAGCGACAAAGGCAAAAGAGACCGGACTGGCCATTGCTGGCTTACCAGCCGTCATCGGCCATTCATATCCCATCTCAGTTTTGGATCACCGCGTCACGACCTTCTTCCATGGAACCACGGGCTCTTGGTTTATGTCGCATTCGATGGGGAATATGAGGGTAGTATGGTGCTGATTGCTCTATCTTGTTAGGGAACAAATTTTGCCTTTGTGCCTGAAAGCTCATTCTAGATTTTCTTTGACTCAACTATGCATATAAATTTCGGGACTGAAGATAAATCTAGTGCTGAATTCGTCTACCTCCATGCCGTGCAATTACTACTTTCTACAATATTTTCCCCGATTTTAATCTAGAGGTCACGTATCAGAAACCGCGTGTGGGACGCTGGGGGACCCATTTGAGAGCCGAATCCCTCGCCGAATCACGCAGCTGCAGAAGCATCGCTGAAAATTTGTCTGGGCTTTTCGCTAAGACGTATGTCGGAAGTACGGTTTAACATTTTTGACCTATGACATATTTACTACTCGAATTACAACTCGTTTGTAGGATGTTCATTGTGTAGCGATTCAACGACTCAAATGTTTACAGCAATTTCGTGTACGACCCTATGATGCAAAAATCAGCACGAAACACGCTCGATCAGCAGACGTTGTGACATCTTTAGAATCGGCACTCCAGAAATTCGCGGCAATTAGGGAGTGGGAAGACGCCATGGGACAACAAGTGACAACTTTACTCCTCCCACAAAAACACCAAATCACGATTTCTAATGCAAATTAATGAGAATTTCTAATAGTACGAAATATGGAGGTTAGTGTCACCCTGCCTACCGAAAAAGTACGCTGGACAGTTGTCTTGAATAAAGCCTAGAATGTAGGAAAAGTGAATGACCTCTAGATGAACAAGGAGTGCCATGAACCAACGACTGCCAACGAATTCAAAAAGCTTGTTAATTGTGTAAACAAGCTGAGGAAAGCGGAAGCTCTTACGAGAGGGGGAGCTCTTCAATGACTCTTAGGACAAATTCTTTAGAGATGGAGGTCAACAAAAAGCCGACGTCAAAGAATAGGATTATTTCATCAGTGATGCCGCTGAGTTTTCTAAGATAGTGTTTCGAGGACACGGCACGGTACGCCGATGGGATCACCCCTATCCACTTTCATTGTTAAAGCGCTCCTGAAGGTTGGAAGGGTTTGTGTTCGACATTCATAGGCCGAAATTTTAGAGGCGTTAAATGGACGACACTTTAGTCTTTCTCAAGCGGGAAAGGGTGCCAAATTTTCATGTCCTCTTGAGCATATTTTTCTGCAGGCACCAGAAGCG